ACGATCCGAAGTAGTACATGAGGGGGTCCAGACAGCAGCTGACGCTCCCTATGCACGTGGACACCAAGTACGCGGCGTAGGACGCGTCGTTGTGCTTGTGCGCGAACTGCACGTAATGCGACAACAGGATGATGTTGGTGGGCGCGAAGCATATGACGAAAACAGAAAAAACCGTTACGGCCATAAAGACGGCCCGCGTTTTTTTCGCGCGGTTTTCCACGTTGGCCGCGCACAAGGCTTGGATGATGCGCACGTAGCAGACGGTGCTAAAAATGAGCGGGATGAAGAAGAAAAGCGAAGAGATGATGGGGAAGAAGTACAGGTAATACTCGCGGAGGTGGTGGAGGTCAAGGACGTCGTGACAGGTGGTAATGCCCAGGTCAGGTAGGTGAATGGTTTGATTGGAAATTAGCAAAGGCGTCACACCGCCGATGGACAGAAGCCACATGGCGACGCACACGACGGACGCGGTTTGCGGACTGCGCCAGGTGAGCGAGTCCATCGGGTAAACGACAGCCATAAAACGGTCCACACTGATGCACATCATGAGCAGCACAGAGCAGTACATGTTACAGTAGAAAGCGGCCGTGACGAAGCGACACATGCCGGCCCCGTATATCCAGTTGTTTCCGTTGTAATGGTAGGCTATCCTAAACGGGAGCACCAGGACGAACAGAAGGTCGGCGCAAGCCAGATTTATCATATAAATCACCGCCGGTTTTTTCGGTCTCACTTTGCGCACAAACATGACCAGCGCCAGGAGATTTAGAGGAGCGCTGATGATAAACACTATAATGTATATTGTTGGGATGACAGCGGTCAACACGCGGCCTGTGAGGAGGCTGGAGGCCTCCGGAGAGATATGATAAGTCTTTTTAGTCACATGGTGGTGGTGATCTTTCTTGGGTTTGGGACCCGAGCCAGAGCCGCTGCCCTCCTCCTGCACGTCAAGGAAATCAATTGGCTCATCGGTGACAGTGAGGAAAAAACCAGAAAATGTCCGAATATATGATTCTGGAAAAAGAAGTACATAATGAATGTATTTAGGTGTAAAATGTTTGCTTGAAAAAAAAAAGTTTGTTTCCTGGTTATAATGATTCCTTAAAAGGATAGTTCACCCAAAAATGAAAATTTGATGTTTATCTGCTCACCCCCAGGGCATCCAAGATGTAGGTGACTTTGTTTCTTCAGTAGAACACAAACGAAGATTTTTTTTAACACAAACCGTTGCAGTCTGTCAGTCTTATAATGGAAGTGAATGGAATCATGGCTTTGAGAGTAAAAAAAAACATACACAAACAAAACCAAATTAAACCCTGCGACTCGTGACGATACATTGATCTGTAAAGACACAAAACGATCGGTCTGTACAAGAAACTGAACAGTATTTATATAGTTTTTTACCTCTGATTCACGCAATGTCCGAACTATTCGAACTGTCCTGAGCGGCGGCACGTCCTCCGGAGCGCGTTCTCAACCGCAGGCGCCTGAGGCGTCTTCTTCTTGCTTTACGGCGGATCGCAGACTTATAAGTGCATTACCGCCACCTATCTCTCAAGTGGACCATTGACACTTTATCTACAATCTCAATTAGGAGTGTCAATGGTCTACTTGAGAGATAGGTGGCGATATGCACACAGGATGTAACACACCAAAAATGGAAGAAGAAGAAGATGCCTCACGTGCCTGTTGTTGAGAACATGCTCAGGAGGACGCGCCGCCGCTCAGGACAGTTCGGACAGTGCGTGAATGAGAGGTAAAAATCTATATAAATACTGTTCAGTTTCTTGCAAAGACTGATCATTTTGTGTCTTTACACATCAATGTATCGTCACAAGCAGCAGGGTTTAATTTGGTTTTGTTTGTATATGTTTTTTTTTAACTCAAAGCCGTGATTCCCATTCACCTCCATTATAAGACAGACTGCAACGGTTTGTGTTAAAAATCTTCGTTTGTGTTCTACTGAAGAAACAAAGTCACCTACATCTTGGATGCCCTGGGGGTAAGCAGATAAACATCAAATTTACATTTCTGGGTGAACTATCCCTTTAATGATTACTTCATTACTTTAATTATATATATAAAAATACGAATACCTCCGCCAGCCAGCATGGACTACATACATACATACATAACCAGCATAGACAATTTTGTTGGATTTATCTGGTCTTTCTGCCTGGCCAGGCTAGATACTTTATTATTCAAAGTTTTCATACATACATACATACATACATACATATATATATATATATAGGTTATATATAAATGAATAATAAACAAATAATCCATTGCCACTCTGGGACACTAAGCTACATGGTTTCAACATAAATATAAATTAAAATGAATTACTGTTAAATTTTACAGTTTGTTCAATTGCTATTTACTGTCACTTATTTTAAGTTTATTTTTCATTTTAGATCAATATTATTTTTTATTATTTAGATACTAATATCCTTGCTAACATGCTCAGGCTAGACGCTTCATTTTTTTCAAACTTGGTTTTAAGCTTTTATTTTTTCATAAACGATTTTTAGTTGTTCATGTTATTTGAAATGCAATTAATTAGGCTACCATAAGCGCTAATAAATGCTCGTGCTTTCAACATAATATTTCAACTACGCCTTAGCCTACTTTACAGAACACTGTCATTCAAGCAGTCTTGCATTAAAGGGGTCATATGATGTTGCTAAAAAGAACATTATTTTGTGTATATGTGTTTATGCGGTTTAAGGTTCAAAAAACACATTTTCCACATACTGTACATTATTGTTTTTCCTCTATGCCACGCCTATCTGAAACGAGTCGATTTTTACAAAGCTCATCGGTCTGAAAAGCGAGGTGTGCTCTGATTGGCCAGCTATCCAGTGCGTTGTGATTGGCCGAATACCTCAAGCGTGTGACGGAAATGTTACGCCCCTTGCCATATTGTGATGCCTTGTCCCGGCCGGAGCGACGAGATAAAAACATTAAAACCCATTATAAACTAGGCATTTGTTGCATCCAGTGGGGACATAATTACACATTATAATGACTTATACTGTGTTTTTACGCGTTGCATTGCATTGCACCGCGTAAACATAAAACCATGTCTGCATTTGTGATTGGAGAAATTACAAACTACAAGTGCTACTCTACACTGCTCAAAACTTGCGTTTGAATCATCAGTGGCAAGTTCTTTAAATATAAAAAACTTACTTACAGTCTGTGAGTCAGAACAACCGGCGTTGTAGTCTACTCTACCAGGATCAGGAAACAGTCCTCCATAAAATGCGCTGCACACATCTGAATATTTGGGTTGAACTGTTCTGGAACAGTGTTGTAAATACAACTTAACTGCCGATTTCTAGTCGTGTCCTCTTTTGCAAGGCCAAACAAATTAGTTTCACTTTCACAACGAAACACGGCGGGCTTGAGTGAGTGGAGGCCGGCATTGAGTGAGCGGCGGCGGGTGGGCTTGCGGCAACCACATGTGACGACCCCAGGCTAAACTCCGCTTCGTCCATGGTGAAAGCCGATCCAGTGATCCACAGCGCGAAGTTGATGTATTTCCTCAGTGACCAGCACGGATCAGCTCCAGACATGACGAAGCAGATATCGTCCTCTTTTGGAAGGCCAAACAAAGTAATTTTGCTTTCACAACGAAACACACAGCGCCTTCACGACATGGCGGCAGCGGCAACAACAATACTACAGCGAGAATAAAAGTTACGCCTTCTTTCTTTGCGTGAACATTTGGGCGGCGTTATGCAAATCTTCCCACATCGTGATGTAGACATGTGGGGGCGTGTTAGAACGAGCCGTTTTAGGTAGGCGTGGTTGACTCTTAACTTTTATAAAGAATATCTCTTTGGATTTTAGACTTTAGTCTTTGCAACTTTACAGATCTTCTTTATGCACCAAGAGCTTGTAACATTTAAAAGAGAAAGGAAAAATTGAAATCGCATCATATGACCCCTTTAAGAAGAAATGGTTTACCAAATTAAATGCCGAGCAGTGTCGGGAAGGTTGCTTTGTTAAATGTAATGGATTACAGATTACAAATTACCCTATTTAAAATGTAATCAGTAGTGTAACTTTACTTTATTACTTTATTAAAGTAAAGTACTTAATTACTTATAATTACTTTTCTACATTTCTAATGAATGTTTTAACCGTTAATCATTTTGAAACATTTAAACCAGGCAAGGTTAACCTTACTGTAGGACTCGACACTCATTATTAACTAGTAAGCAATTAGTGTGAACTTTGCTTCTCAAAGTATGTAGAAGCAGCTATACAACTCGCACGTCATTTTTTTAGCAGTGGATTGTAATGCTTACTTTCAAAAATACAAAGTACAGAAAGTTCACATTTGCTCCTCTCACCAAAGCACTGTATGTTACTTAAGTTCATCATATTTTAGCCTGTGTCACGTGCAGAGACAGGCTGTAAATGTCTTACCGTTCTTGGGCAGCGCAGCCGCAGAGCCCTCCACAGCCAGCAGCCCCATCAACACCATAATCCGCAACATCACGACTGAATCAAACGGTGCGGCTCAAAAATGATGAAAAAAAGCGCAAAAACTAAATAAAACAGGCAAAGACTTTTCAGTGAATGAGCATGAGCTCAACAGCAGTCCTCAGACATCAGGAAAGACTGGAAGTTGATGAATTCACTCCGCTGTCTGTCGCGTGCATGTCAACGCCTACTTAACACAAGGGAGTCCAGGACTAGCTGATACAAACTTTAAACTACATATTTTATTTATTTAAGGTTATTTTAAGTTACTTCACAGTATATTATATTGTGCTTATTTGTTTCTCCAAGTGCTATTAAAATATACAGTATGAAGGTTCAATTTTGTTTGGAGAATAGTAATCACAAAAATGTCAATTTGAAATCACCATAAACGTCTGCATTTATATGATTAGGCTTTTGATTCATAATACAGCCCTTGTGTCATATATCCAGTCTCCCCTATATATACCGTGTATATGAAAAAACACGTTTTGATGTATGATAGTTGTATTTATTTAAAATCAATAACATTAATCCATCTTCTCAGCACAGAACATTGTCATTTTTTTAACTGAAAACTTTTAGGAATGCCGTTTAATAAGTATCTTTAAAAAGATGCACATTTGAGCACTTAGAAATGAAAGGCACTAGTTCATGACAGTCTTGTGAAAAGTCTCCTCTGGTTTATCTTATTTAACAGCCATATGGCAGTAGTGCATTATCAGTCATTAAAAGTAATTCATCTTATTAATTTCTAAGATATTAAAACATTGCAGCATGCAATACATTACTTGCTATAAAATATATATTTCAATTACACTTGTATTGAAAAATATAATCCATACACAATTTTCCAAAAAAACAAAACAAAAAAAACAGAAGTAATTTGTTGTTTTGATTGTGGTTTGATTAAATTTCCTTTCAAATGTAAGCTTTGTATGTACAGCTTTGCTGAATTCTTAGAATAATTCTTAGAATGGTAAGATCTCACTGTATAGTTAATCAAATACAGAAGACCTGCAAACACAGTTGCACAAATACCCTGAATGCTCAGAAATTTCTTTTACAAAAACATCTAAAAACCAAAGGCACAATCTGTTCTTTTTGTACAATTTGTGTAAACTAACATCTAAAATGAGACTCTGATAGCTAGTTAATATTTTTCACTGAACATATTTTCACTGAATTAACTCCAAGGGATGTTCATTTTCCATAGAACTTTTTGTTCAAAAGGAAGATCAGTAGATTGACGTTGACTTTGGCTTTGTCGAACATTTTCATGACAGCTACTCCTTCATACTGGAGCTGCAAAAGGTCCTGATAATAATAATAAAAAAAAACACACAAGAGGTGAAAAACAGTTCTGTCTTGGTGCGTCCATAAATGCAGTTCCACATAATACAACTAATATCCTGCATGTGGCTCTGTGCACCTGGGAACTGACCTGGAAATGCAGTTGCACCTTCTCCATCTCAACTCCCATCAACTTGGCCTTTATCTCGAAGTCCCCCACTTCCTCACAAGGGCAAATGTCGAACATGACATTTTTTAACCTGAAATGTACAAAACACTGACTGAAGTACTGGAATAGGTGGAGCTTAATACTGTACATCTTACAGTGCAAATCATTTCAGTGTTGCAAAATGACTGGTAGCGCCTGCCTGGTCAAAAAGAAATATAAACATAACATTCTTGAGATTGACAACAAATTAAATGACTAAATCACTGAGCACTAAAAGATAACATTTTGAATATTCTTTTGATCTGCCTTAAGAGATTGAAAAAAATAGTTGGCTAAACTCCACTTTGGACTGCATGAGGAAGAGCAGAACAGGATGGTTAACTTTAGATATTAGAAAGTTCAGTTTAGATATTATGTATTTGATATTCAATGTGAAGTTACTAATTATGAATACAAATATTAATTATTAATAGAATGAAAAGTAATGATGCAAAGAGGAAAAACATACTGATTAGTCTGGAGGCCTTCAATCTCCAGAATGACTCCTTTCTCATGCAGTTTGGCTGCTGTGTACTTCAGAGACGAGGCCTTGGGAGGCCTTGAGGCCTTCTTACTGCTCTTCTCCTCTTCCTTTCTGTCCAGTTTAATGGACCTTCGTGAATTCCTGATTGCAAAACAACCATCAATAAAATATTATATGTCTTATAGGAAATGACAGTAGACACTTTCCAATTTCCCTTCAAGCCATTGTGTATCAGGGCTCAATTGTGGCAATCACTAATCATTAAATATCAATATATCAAATGAGAAAATGAATGTCTAAACATGAGGATAAACAGACAAACTGATAAAAGTTAGTCGTGAGGTTAAATAAAATAAATTAGCAATTAAATAATAATCTAATTATTACATTGATAAATGAACAAATTGATATTGACATCAGATGTGCTGTACCTCAGATCAGCAGAAAATCAATAAGGTTATCATGATCATATTGAAAATAATAATTTTCAGGTTTAGTATTATTTTTTTGTATTTAGAATGTATTACTTGAATATATTACTTTAATAACTTTGCTGTTTTATTTATCGATCCCTTAAAGGTCCCCTGAAATGCTTAGAAACACGCAGCGTTACTCTGTGTTGACGTCATTTTAACTGAAACAGGAAGACAGGGCAGGACATATCAAGCAGCCCCGCCCCTTTTTAAAATAGCCAATAGCGTTGGTTTATATCACAGCTTGGGCTAGAGCCGTTGAGCTCCGTAAAGCCGCATTTGGCAGGGTATGCCAGCCACAATCTCATCCATATTGCTATAAAATATAGCATTCTGTGTAAAATTCAAATACATTTTGTGGGCTGCACCGTGCTATCGTGTCTCTGGACCGGAGCAGAGTGTGTGTGTGCGGTGGTTAGCTTGACAGCGCGAAACCAGACTTATTTTTTTCCTCAATGGAAAGCATATTTACACTGTTTGAATCGTTCCCTGTCCCCTATATAGTGCACTACGTGCCATTCACTGTACAGAAAATACTAATTCTGTGGACAAGTGACCGATTTCAGCGTTTTGGACCACACTGCCTTATAGATAACCTTAAGACTAACATATTGATACTAACACCCAAAAAATTTAAATTTTGATTTCATGGGGACTTTAAAGTTAAGGTAGGCGATTTCGGAAAGGCTATAACAAAGTTAGCTTTGAAAGCAAGATCCACACCCTCCCTGCATGACCACTTTGCAAAGCCACGCCTCCTCCCAAAACACACAAACACACTCAGTGGCTCAGGCAGACCAGAGACATGATGAGAGATGGCGTTGGTGGAGGATTGAATGCAACGCTGTCAGATTACCTCATGTCTCATTCACCCGTGAGAAAACATTACAGTACAAAGCATGATAGCACATGGTATTACAATAATAACGCCTTTCATTCTTGCTGGAATGCGCTGATGACGTATCATGTCTGCGCAAACGGGCTGCGCAGAGGTATGCAAATACATATTTTGACAGGCAGGCAGGCATCGAACCGAACATTTTGATTGGACAAACATTTTATGGTCCTACGCTTTCCACAGACAATATAATTACATATAAATAAATGTAGGCCACTTAACTTAGTGATTGATATCGGGATGTGAGAGACTTTCAACCAGCATAACAAAAAATGGTTTTGAATCGAATCACCTACCCTGCCTTTAAATTTGTTTATAGATATTTTAAGTGATTATTAAGAGGCACATATACAGTAGGCCCATAATCATGAGTGCATTTGTACGAGAACTTCATGTGTATCTCCACTCACTTTCTGTTGAGGTTATCCAGACAGGTTTTGATGTATGTGTCATAGTAATTGATCTGTTCCTGATAGAAAGCTGCCTTTGAGTTGAGCGCAGTCAGAGTCTGCTGCAGCTTCACCAACTCTGCTTTCCTCCTCTGCCTGTAGCGCCGCTGGTATCGAATGTCCTGCCAAATAAAACATTTTTGTTATTACAAATATTATATTGTAAAAACACATTCAGTCTAACAGACATAAACTAATGGAAGGTGTTTATGGTACCCTGCAGTCCTCAAGCGACAAGGTCATGGTATTATTCAATTCAGAAGCAATCATTATAACTACATTTGTCCAGTAGACAATTATCACTTTTCAACAAGCCCCAACGTCTTTTCAAATAGTTCTGAGGTCAATCAGGCCTGACCTTGGAGATGTCATTGATGACTTCCTGGTACTTGTGTTTTGAGCTGACCAGACCAGCCTGCTCTAGAGTTCTCAGGTTCCTGAAGATCTTTCTCTTCTTCTGCTCCAGAGGCAGCTGGCGGTCCTCCAGCATGGCCTTGCTGCTCTTCAGCCCCTCTGGAGTCTGAGAGTCCTGCACCACCTGTCGCTCTACTAGCTTAGCGTGCTCTGCCTCCTACAGCACCAGAGAGAGAGAGAGACGGTTGATTGAGGCGAATCCATTTCATTTCAATCTGTTGGAAGACTGACCTCTGATCAGTCTTTATCATTAATTAAAGAGCCTACTATACCTGTTCAGCAGAGGCAGGAGTTTCTAGGATATCAGTGAGTGTTTCCCCTGCTTGAATTCTCACAACATCCACTATCAGTTTCTTTGTTCTGCAAAGTGACAGGCAAACAAAGAGAAGGATGTCCTAGTCAGGAATATCAGAGTGCCTCATGTTGTGCTCATCTGTTAAGATACAGGCTGACATTGTCCAGCAGATAATGCAATGCAAGACTACTTCACGGGCACTCACAATTGAGATTTGATCAAGACTGCCATATGCTGGTGACATAAAGGACAAAACTATGACAGAATTTTTTTCATTTTGGGTGAAATATCCCAACTTACAAATGTCTGAACTGAATTTAACTAATTTTATGCTTGTCATGACCTTAAAAATCTTAAGAGAGTCAAGGTTCAAATAAAAGAGGATATTTAAAAAATATTGGTGTTTTTTGTCTATAGTCAGTCAGTCAAAAATGTTGTTTTGGAGCTAATTGACATTTTAAATTCTTTGGACTAGAGCATTCTTCAAAATATTTTGTTTTATGTATGTTCCACTGAAGGAAGGAAGGAAGAAAGAAAAATAATGTTATGCAGGTTTGGAACAGTTTTGTCTGGTAGTATAAGCATACAAAAATGCCTGTAAAGAAGTGCAGACTAATTTGTGGTGTGTCTCAAACTGCATATAAACAAACTGGCTGGTTACAGTAATTGATATTCATACGGTCTGTAAACAGAAGTTCATACACGTCTGGGTCACTGGGGCTTCACAGATACCGTGGAAATGGAGCAGATGTAAACATATAGACAATGAGCAGTGACGTCAGTGTTCCTGCTTCCTTCCCAAAGATAGACTAGAAAGCTAGAGGTCAGGACACAAGTGCTAGGAGAATACTGGCCAGCAAATGATAGTTGACCAATGTTTCCTTAGAGTATTACATTTCAAGTTCATGATGACCGCCGTCATTAAGGCCTCTTTACACCATATGACCAAAATTATGCTGCTTCTGGTTGGGCAGTTTTCTTTGCATTGTGATGAAAAAGAAATTAGAATACCTCTATGTAAAACAACTCTGTTGCATTAACGGCATGCAAAAGTTTGTCTTTTATTACCAGCTGTTCATTTAAATTAAAATGTTTATCGCATCAAATTTTTGCACTGAACATTCGTCTTAGTGTGAACAAGCCTATACTCAACAATTCTAATTACACAAGCTGGTCAAAAAAGGCCCATTTTAGAACTGGAAAAGATAAAACGGGACACCAAACCATTTCCTCCTATGGGTCACGAGAGATATGAAGACAGGAAATGAAGACAGTGAAGAAAAGTTGAGTGTGGGCAAAGATATATGTATTATGTTAGGACATTTTGCGTATTAAGGCAGTTGAAAGAAGTGATGATTACTTGCTCACTTACTTCATCATCAGTCCCTTCATGTCTTTGTCATCTCCTTCCAGCAGCTCAAACTTGTTGGTGAGGGTAAGGGAGACCTCTGTTTTGGCCAGTTGACTCCGTGAGTTCTCCTTGCTGGGGTCATCTGCATCCAAAGCTCCTTCACCTGGGTGTCAGAGTTTCACATTCATATTGTTCTGACAGTGGTTTACTGTCCTTTTCTTTTAATCAGCTGTCAGTGAGGGCATATCCATCTGGACTCTGCAGTCTTCACTTCTTCTAGGTGGATAAACTGCTGGTGTTTGAAAGCTGCTCTGAGTGAATGAATGAAATTATTTGTTTGTATTTGTTATAATTTTACCAAGTAGTGACTCGACGTCAGGAACTTCCCCCAAGTTCTTCAGGAGTTCATGCAGAAGATCACTGTGATCTGGAGCAATAGCTTCCTTATGTTCCAACACCAACTAGAAGAAAAAAAAGCCAATTTAAGTATTCCAGCTACAAGCAGTCTGTACAGACTACAAAACACAATAATACTTAACATCACACAGCTTGGATCAAGATACATTCCTATTGCAATTGTTATTACTACTAACTGAGTACCATGTTACATTCACAGCAAAACCCAGAAGATTCTATGAAATTGTTATAATACTGTACATGTACCGTTAAGTATGATATATGTTAAGTCTGATGTAGTATAATTTTATAGATAAAGTTACTTTGCTGCAGCTCAAAGAGTAGAGCATTGTGCTAGCAATGCCAAATTCATGTGTTCGATTCCCAGGCAATGCATGAAAAACATGTATGCCTTGAAGTGCAATCTAAGTCACTTTGAATAAAAACATATTGTAAATACATAAATGTAAAATGTAAAGTTAATATCTTAGATGCCCCCTGTCTTCGTGTGTATGATTCATTTTCTGATATTTGTAATTGGCAACATAAGATGATGACTTATTTGTTTCCAATACATCTCATTACAATACATTGTTCTAAAATTTGGCAGAGAAAACAAAACAGCACCCAACATTAGGAGGCAATACAGTTGGATTTAAATGGAATATTTGGACACCAATTTCTTCCATGTACAACTTCTAAATATATTTTCAAATCATAAAATGCTGTATCTCTCATTCAACATAATATACAGTACATTACAGCCATACTGCTTAAAATTGACAGCACATCTGTTTGTCTATGTGCTGCAGAATGAGAAACGTCCTGAAATGAAATGTCCGTCTGTTTTTATCAACTGAAGGAGTGTAGAGACTTGACTGAGAGGGAAAAAATTTGGAGAGACTCTTATTATGTCTGCACCGGTCATGATGTCACGTCCTCACACATATAGATCAAGTTAAGCCGCTCCTCACAGAAGACTCCACTCATGACTCATAGGTGGCTAATGAAACTTAATCACAATGAGCTGCAGGTCTAAAAAAAGCATTTGACTTCACATTCCAGATCAAGGCCCAACAGCAAATGCTGAAACCACACGTTTTGACAAGACACATCTAAACTGGATTCTCTTTCATATGAACAGCCCAGAAATAAGATAAAAGAAAAGGTCATCACTTCTACTGAATTTGGCACGAAATGAAAATTTTCTAAATGCATATTATAAATCTTACTGTGCACAATTCATCTGTGCATGTTTCATTTTTTTACCTTGTAATCTAAGCATTATAACTGTATCTCTGTATGTAATTTTCAGTTGCATGTTAAGTTGTATGTCTTACAGAGTGTGTGTTGATAATCTCCTCAATAGAGATGTAGATGATGGGTTTGCTGAGTGTCACCATGTCAGAGTACTCGTCCACGTTAAACTTCTCCTCCGGAGCTGGAACGTCACAAGCTGCCTGGAAGAAGCCCCTGAAAGTCAAAAAAAAGAAAAGATTAAATTTGTGGATTTCTTTCTATTTATTTCTTCAGAATTGATATCAAAATGGTAAAATGAGTAGCCGAAAACACATGAAATTAGGCAAAAGACGTGGGAGTGAGGAATTTTGTGAATGTCAGCTATTCAAATTTCGAGAAATCTGTTGAGCTTTCTACCGAATTTTGTTCACCAACAAAATAATAAAACAAGATAAAAACAAATGTATAATGCTAAGTAGACCTGAATGAGAAGATCACATGCTAAACTGCAGTAATCCAGCTCAAGTGTAAACTACCAGGTCTATCACTGACGTGTAATCAGGCAGAGTTGCTGAGAATCTGAGGGGGGGGGGAAACGGGGAGTTTCCAGTAAGCATGATTCACCAGCATGGGAATGAGGGGATTTGGGCAAAAGGTCATTTAGCACTTCCAGCCTCCTTACACACACACACACATTAATGTGTCTGAAGTGGGAACACATGTCCCTCCTTTCTGCTGATGCCTTACTTTCTCACAAAAACACTTCCCCACCTTTCACCTCCAATTCCATATATCCTCAGCATGCCCTGACCCTCGGATCTGTGATTGTTTCAAATCTTTTGTTCTACTCATCGGTTTCTACATAAAATGTTAATGCTTAAGGTTAATAATAGTTAAAAAATAAGTATTATTATAATGAGAGAGTAGTTTCAAGTTATTTTATTACATGAAGTTGTATGAATTCATGACACCATTGATAAACAACCAACTGCCCCACACCTGCAGCACCCATTCAATCCTATTTGTGACCCTGGAGCACAAAACCAGTCTTAAGTCGCTGGGGTATATTTGTAGCAATAGCCAGCAATACATAGTATGGGTCAAAATTATCGATCTTTCTTTTATGCCAAAAATCATTAGGATATTAAGTAAAGATCATGTTCCATTAAGAAGTAAATTTCCTACCGTAAATATATAAAAAACATAATTTTTGATTTATAAATATACATTGCTAAGCACTTCATTTGGACAACTTTAAAGGCGATTTTCTCAATATTTAGATTTTTTTGCACCCTCGGATTCCAGATTTTCAAATAGTTGTATCTCGGCCAAATTTTGTCTTGTCTTAACAAACCATACATCAATGGAAAGCTTATTTATATATTTTGTAAATATGGGCCTTGGAAAAGGCTAAATGAGTTTATGTTGCTTTGGCTAAAGTATGTAGATCCAGTGTGGATAAATAACCATGCAATTCACTTCTGCATGTTGATTCTCACTGTGTGAGATGCAATAGTCACTTAGCTTCATAGTTTTTGTCAGCTCTGAGACACTTGCTTTATATTGCTCCTGCTCCTTCTCATAAAATGAAAGCTTAAAATACAGTACAGGCCTGATTATTTCAGGGACCTTTTCACAAGTCCATTTTTTATTTGATTTCTCTCTGCTATGTTTTCACACTTAAAACAATGATTTGGATGTGACTCTTGTACCGCTGTCCTCTTTTGAGCAATGAAATACATCTCCTGATAGTTCCTCTTCAGGAACTCGAGCTGCGTCGAGAACGCTAGGGGAACGCCTTCAGTGACCCACGCTCTGAATCACATGTGAAATCAGTCCAATAGCTGAGCGGTACATCACGGCGGATGACGTCATGAACGGGAAGCTATAAAAGCACGTGCGGCGGAGCCAGCGTCAGCTTTCTGTCATTCAGCGAAGCGCTCTGTGTGTGTCAGTCATATTTATTGTTGTCTGTCAAAAGTCTATAAGCTCCAGCTATGTCTAAGCTCATGCAAGGACAAAGCATTTCAAGGGCGAGAGCAAGCCACGTTGTAGGTTGTGTGTTCCTCCCTGCTTAAAGATATAATTATATCACGAGTGGACACACACACAGCCTGTGCGTGGTTTGCTTGCGAGCGAAGCATAGTTGTTAAAAAAGAAAAAAGCAGCCTTGCTTCGCTCTCAGAGGGCTCTCTTTGAGGAGAGAGCTTTCACTAGCGTTCCTCGCAGTGCCGGCCCCGCTTTCGCCGAGGCGGAGCGGCGGCTGTGCTCGGGGGTTTCGCGTATGGATCTGCTAATCACCAGATCCAGCGCCCGCTCTCGGGGTTCGGAAGCCCGCGCGGCGGTACTTCCCCCCCGGGGAGAGGGCGCGACGCTCCGCCTGTCTTTCTCCGAGGAGATTGATACGGAGGGCGTCAAAGAGCTCGCCAGTTGCACAAACATCAGTTACACAAGCAAACAATATTATGCCTTATATTATAATGAGCAGCATTAATAGGAGCGGAGCTCGCGCAGTCGGGGC